GGGTGGCCGGAGACCAGACCCTGGAGGTTGACAGGTAGATGATGCTTTTGGGAAGGGTATCAAACAGAACGGGCAAGTATGCCGACGACAAAGTTCATTATTCGGGATCCAGCCAGCGGGTCTGCCCGTCATCCATGTGATTGCTAGAGTGGCTACAAGAGACCTGTCTTACTTCACTTCTGTCATCCCCCACTATGCAGAATTTGAGCTGGCTGAGATATAGCCTGGCTTTTTTTGCCTGTTTAACACAATAGGTGGGTAGCACAGCGGCCTCTAGACATCCTTTGGTCCTCATCACATCAAGGAATGACAAGATAAAGAGATCATGAAGTTTTTGGATCTCGAGAGGTTACCTACTCTACAGTCCTTGACTGAATACCTATCGATCCAGGGAATCTGACATCTCGCCATCTCTCATGCAAGCTTCATCCTACAACGCCATGTTCCTAGCCAATTCCGTCTTCACGTCTGTACTCACCGGTCTTGACTTCTGATACATGTTATCATTCAAGCACTTCTCACCGAGTCGTCGACGTCCATAGTAGATGTAATGTGTAGTATACATTACCGCACGACATATCATCCTCCAGACACATACACAACCAAAGAAACAGTTGACCCCTACCATTTTCTCCCCCCATCCACTCCAATCAACCCTCTTGATATCACGATACATACATATCCAAACAGCCAGGCCCATCCCTTCTTTCCTTCTTCCTTCATGTTCTCAGAAAAACACCAGAGAGGCAGGCCATCCAATCGGAACCTATCCTTTAGTCAACAAGGTTACGTTATCATATGATATTGTATGTTGGTTGTGGGAGGCCGCCAGCAGACCAGATACAATTATTAGACAGGTTATGTATAGGATTGCATGATACCCATAGAGGTAAGGTGGCTTGCTTTGGATCTCACTTGCCGGTACTCTACGCCGATGCATTCGGGATTTATTTCTCGATACAGGTAGATTGCTGGACATGGGTACATGTAGGAAGTACGTAGGGGAAGGTGATCACCAGGGACCAGGCACATGGCTTGTTCCCTTTTTCACTTCTGGCATGTTGCCTCGCCTTACCTGTACATTGCCTATTCTTTGCTTCTGAACCATAGTACTCGGTTCTACCGTTTCTTGTGATGGATTCAAAGCATTGTACGAGGACGACTATAACCGGAGGCAGAATCGGGTGAAAGAAAAGCAACAAGAATGACTTCCGGTATGAACAATCAATGTCATCAACGCAAGCTACTCCCGCGGTCGTCCACACAATGCCAGATCTTGCTGGATCAACACGACATACTTCTAGGGAACTAGGTAGGTAGGCTCTGTAGCCTCCTCTACATTTTATCACGGTGGCAACCCTCAACTGCAATCGTCCTATTTCCGGCTAGGTACTCACCGATCCCTCCACAAGTGTTATCACCTTGGACTATTTGGCAATTTGGCAATTTGGCAATTTGGCAGACAGTGACAGACAAAGGCGTGTTGTACACTTGATCACGGTCGAAACGACCTTCAACTGCACGGACAGACAACATTACATATCGTAGTGTCTCAGTGTCAACTTTAACACGGGAGGGTTTTCATGATCAAGTTGTGGCTACATACCCCTGCTGGACTGAACAAGGACCCTGGGCGGAATGATGTCGTTACGCAACCTTTAGGTAAAGCTTTCCTTTTTCTTGGGGGCTCTGGAGGAGAGTTGGGGGTTAGCGGCAGCCAAGAAGCCAAGAAGCCAAGAAGAAGCCGATGAAAATCCCTGCTTTTTTTAACCCCTGGTGTGGTTTTGGTTTTGCATGTGGAAGTTTGCAGGTTTGGAAGTATGGAAGTCTGGAAGCATGAAGGAATTTGTTTGGAAGTGGAAGACGAAAGGTTTGAGACGGGATGGTGTTTATGCATAGGCTGTGGTGTACGTACTGTACGGGCAGTAGACATCGCATGAAGTTTCACACTTCGTTTCTTCCGTGCTCGCTTCGTCACTATGTCCAGGAGCTCCATCATCATCATCATTATCCTTGTGAGTCTTTTTTTCTTCACGAAAAATATTGTCCGCCGAACCTGCGCCGAACGGAGGTTGGAATCAGCGCGGATCTCTTTTTGAAAATAGCCTCTGCTTGAAGTCTTCCCCCCACGGTGACATCGGAATGTCGAGAAATTTAATTTGCAAAAGGGAAAATCGGACAGTGCAACACTATTAGTCGCTATTACCTAATAGGGTGTTAGTTCTAGCAACCATAATGTCATTTTCCGACACTAGTTTTGTATCCCTCCCGTCCTGCTGTATCATGACGGGAGTTCTCAATATTTCAAGGGTCGTAAAAGAAAAGGTGTGAGTGGCACAATTGACGGTAGGCGAGAGATGGATGGGTGTTAGGGTATGATCTTTTTTGGGATGCTGAGTTCGACATTCCAAGGGCGAGTGACTTTGGGGTGGGCCAGGTTAATGTGGGTCGGTGGGGATGTACTGGAAAGTTGAGTTGAAAAGACAGCACCCCCATCATTTCTTTTCTCATTCCAGCGCTCAACTTCCCTGAATCTGGGCCTTTTGATTGGTTGATGATTAGCGCCTTGGCGAGGTACAAAGACGGAGCATTCCGACGACATTTCAGCCACACCACACTCCACTCGCCAACCGGACTGTCTTGGCTGCTTCTGATAAGCTCAAAAGGGTAAAGCGTCCCCAGTTGTGGAGTAAATGAAGCCACAGCCAGAATGTTGAAGCTGGAATGCCGGCTCAGCATCCTGAAAAAGATCAGGCCCTTAGTGGCGATATCTTGGCTGTGCTGAATTACCAAGGGCTTGGTATGGCGTCTGAGCGGTGTTGCCGGTGAGATGTTTTGGGTGGTGGATGGTGTAATGCTGAATGCTAGGTAGGCCAGTTGCCCAGATAGAGAAAGGATTTTGTAGAATAGGCAGTCAATATTCTACCTCTGTCCTTCCGGTTTGCATTCATCAACCAAACCGGAATGTCCATATCCGTGGCAATATCAGAAAGATTCCTCTTTGTATTACACAGGAACCAGGACCAGCAACCGCGCATCCAAGTTCAGACATCTTTTATGCCGAGTGAAATGCAATGGATACGACGGAATAGACGGGAAGAAGACTGACAGGGACGGGGTGCAAGTGCAACGGTGGGGGGTGATGAATGTGTAATCGCTTTGGGAAGTCCCGTCTTCCAGAAACGCCTATTCTGGGCATCCATGCAAATGAAAAAGCGCCCAGATACACTGCAGCGGAAACGAAGGCGATCTCGTCCGTGTCGGTCGTGAGAGGTTTATCAAAGTGTGTGGTTGTGTGGTGTTGCAGGCTTTGGCTTTCCATATTTCATGTTGTTCCTCACACACACGAGCTCCGAGATAAGAGATTCATTGGTCGGTTCCTGCGCTGGCCACCCCAATGGCCCAGGCAAAGCCTTGTCAAGCAGTCAAGACAGTTGATCGATGTGCTTGCGCAGCATCACAACCCGCCGCATCAGCACGTTATTCGCTCGCAAGTCTGACATGAAGGGGGCGGCCGGCCGGCCTGTTAGTCCTGCGAGTGTCCTTGTCCTTGGTTTTATTAGCCGAGCTACAGGCCAGGTATATCCTCCCATCTTTGCCATGTGCGGCCATGTTGGGCGGTCAAGGCTCTCTGACACCATTCAGACCCGCTATCGCGATACTCGCCTGGTGCGACTCACAAGGTTGAGATGCCCAATAGGTCTGGGGCTTGATAACGTGGTGTACCGTCCGTCTCGTGCGGCAGTCCAACCGAAGGGAAAGAGATGTACGACGCCGTCAACGACCCCTTGACGAAATCCCGAATCAACGACGATGGCAATGCCGTGCGACAGACGGTAAAGGTGTCAGAGCGTATCTTGTCTCGAGGTCGTCGATCTTTTTTGGGGATGGGACACAGCTATCGGTATCTGGGAGGCCGCGGGTGATAGCTCTCTATAGATATCTGAATTGCTGTGCCGCAGACGCGCCGGCACATCGACTGTCACTGTCCTGCAAGATTGGTACCTTTTTTTTTCCAGCCAGCCCAGTGGTGTCTGTCCTTGAGGCATGAGATGGTCCAGAAAAGGACGGGAGGGATGCCGTGAAATGTTTCCAGTAATAAGGTCAGTGAGATGGAACAAAAAACAAAGACAGATAGACTGTCGAATGGGAGAGATTCCAGCATCCGGCAGAGTCTAAAAAGCCCCTGGAAACTCGACGATGGTGAGCGAGAGGTTGTTCACGGTCTGGCCGCCCGCCCGCCGGAAATGCGCTTATCTTGACCCCCACAGTCTTGTTCCTCGTCATCCATGTGGCTTTGCTTTGTGCGTGTCGTCTCGCCCGTCGAGTGTCACTCTTCTGATAAAGTCGCAGCACGAGGGCCTGTGGTTGGCCAGACGCTGGTAGGCCCCCAACAGCGCACAGATCAGGTCCGCCGAGTGACCTTGATGGACCTTTGGGACCTTGACGGCTTCGCGGGTGCCATCCTTGCTGGAGCCCCGGTCGTTAGAGTCGTCCACCCGCAAAACCCCCGCTTCCTTCCCTGTCGAGTCCACTTCCTCCCACAGGTTCATCCACATCCTTCCTCCCACTCTTGGACCCACATCGGTCACAACTCACAACGGGCTCTTTCTCTTTGGAACCTGACTCCAGTGTTTCAATGCCTGCGCACCTGCCCTTCCGGAGAGGTAATGGATTGCAACCCTCGTCCGGGTGCCCGTCTTCAGTCGACAGCGACATCTCTCGACGTCCCGAGGGGGGCAATGCCAGGAACGGCAATGCTCTGACAAGGACCGCAGATGCAGATTGTACCTTGGCCAAGTACCTGTCCATGTCGTCGTGGTGATGTGGTGGTGGTCATCGGTGGCTGTTGTCTCTTCCATTTTCCCCCAGGGGCGAAACTGTGTCCAAGGTCACCGACGGATATCAAGTCCCGAACATCATCGCCATCATAGCTTTACCCCCAAAGCCCCCCGAGGCCCCGTCCCACCTTCCCGCAAGCAGGACTCTACGCTAGAGAATGCACTCCATCGGGAAGAAGGCCGCGGTATTTGGATTGAGTCTACATCTACCGAGGCTTTATGTAGAGCACTCAGACGCCGTTGAGGTTTCCAGACTCTAACCGTCCAGACTTTGATTTTGGTATTCAAAAGCTAGAACAAGACTTTCCACGCCGTGGCTGGAGCTGCTGCATTATTGGTACCTCGCTAATGCCGGTAACCCGTCTCACGCCTATCAAGACCCTGGTCCCGCTGTCGCAATCTATCTCCCTCATTCAATCCCTCCTTCCACTCATCTCAATTGAGGTTTCTCCCATCCCGTCTTTCTACAACACCTCAACCAGTGAACAGGACCACGAGCCCTTTGTCCTGGGCAAACCATACCGGGAATCCAAATCCAATCATCCCGCCATCGACTCAGGCTTCTTTCTGCCATCGGCCATCATATCTGGGTCTACAGGTTATCCCCACCACCACGCAAGCGCTGATCTCCTCGATCCAACTTGTTGGCCGTTTTGCCCGTCGGTCCCTGCGTATACCTCACGCCCACGTACGTACATACCATCAGATTCACACCGGCGTGACCTTCACTTATCGGAACGAAAAGCAAACGTCCAGCATCCCAGCATCCCATCGCAACACCCGGGGCGGGCCCCTCGCCAAGTAGCAACCTCGCTGGGCATATCAAGATCCACGATACCTGCTGCACCCTTCCTGCCTATCATACCTCTCCCTCTCACGACATCCAGGTCCACCGCCAGATTAGACTTGTGCCAGATTGTACCAGATTGTGTCAGATTGTGCCAGAACTCCATCGACAAGAGGGACCAGCCAGCCAGCCCCCACCGCTTCACAAGTCACCCTTTCGCCTGTTCCTGGATCCTCATCTCCCCCTGGCTGCCTTGTTTTGACCCCTTCGGGCACACCCCGGCCATTTCGACTTGTCGACCGATCCACAGACGCCCTACCCAGCGATCTTGTCCCCGGCCGGTGATATACATACCCCCCGTACGGAGCCGCTCAAAAGCCCAACGGCATCCACCCACACTGGACCTCCCGTCCCCCCGCGGTTTCCACTTGTTTCGCTAAAATACCGAGGAACCCTGATTATTTTACCATCCAGTTGGACCCGTGAATGTCCAACCTCTTTCTTGCCTAGCTACCATTCCATGGACCTCCGACGCTTCTCGCATCAGCATCTCCTTGCCATGTGTGAGCCTCGATAGTGACCATCAAGAACAGTACCTTACCTACCCATCTACCTTACCTTACTTGCTGACGTGAGCCGGCACCACCACCCTTTGGCGTCATTCATACACCACGTCACGCGATCCTTCCACCATTATCATTCATCCTAGCCCTGTGAAGGAAGGGCATTGTTGTTGGAGTTAAGAGGTCGACGGGACGACAGTCGTTCCGGGGAAGTCTACGGGCATGTCAGCCAAGTCGTCCCCATCGCCGTTCCAGGCGCCGGCCAACAACCAAGTGGACGAAACCACGATGCCCAAGGGCCATTGTCGATACATCCTATGCGTACCAGAGATCAAGGGCCACCGATGTGCCTGTGTCGGCTTCTCTCACAACAAAGGCATTCCGGGTGCGACCTGCGAGTGTGGTCATCTGGCCTGTTACCATCAGAAGGAGCCAGACTCGGCATCTGGCGACCAAATCGAACTGCTAAGGAGGCGTATCCAGCTGCTTGAGGAGCAGCTCGCTGGAGGTATTGGCAGCAGGTTGTCTGACGTGGAGCACGACCTGGAGAAGACCAGAGGTATCGTCAGCAGATTGACGGACGTGGAGGAGACTTTGGAGAAGAGCAGAGAAGAATTCAGTGAACAGATCAAGGGGGCATACCGGAATATGAGCATCAGTTGGCGGTCGATCGAGCAAATAGAGCGCAAGACTCAACACCAGGACGAGCAACTGCGCCAAGTGTGCGAGAGGTTGGGGGCCCATGATGCGCAGCTTGACAGGTTGCATGCAGGGCAGTTGGAACTCAGGGACGCCGATATCAGCCTCGAGGAGCGGATCGAAAATATCGCCGAGACGATGGAGGAGCTGGAGGACGCGCAGGACGCACAGGACGACCATCTGGCCAGACTCAACGGGCGTCACCCTCGAAGAAGGTCAACATCCGATACATCTCGCCCAAACTTCCCTTCAGGCCCTTTAGGCCCTTTAGGCGGTGGCGCGAATCCCTTCGACAGTCACGGCCACTCCCATGTAGCGCAACCACCCGTGCAAAGAGGACATGGCGAAGGATCCGGGCTCGACGGGACTCTGATCTCCCACCCTACGAAAACGCCGCCGCTCTCTGCCCGGTCGACGGGTGCCTGGACCGTTCACATCTCGCTGCTTCCCCATGCCCGTGTGCCCATGCCGTTCGAGAGGAATACCAACGCGTACCAGCGATGCCTATCACGAGGTCTCCACCAGATGGTGGCCGTCCATGGGCGGGACGCTGCGTCATTCATCAAGGCCGTCGAGAAGGCGTTCGGCATGTTCCTGAAAGGTCGTCCGTGGATGCCCCTCCAAGCCAAACTCTGCGACGCCGAGCCACTCCAGGGCCTTCCGATGTTGCGCCAGCTTGAAGCTTCCCTGGTTGACTCCAGCTACGACCACGACTTCCTCCGCCAGAACTGTGCCGTTTGCGACTCGAGTGGCATGATGGACTCGTTATACATTGCAATGCGGCATGACACCATTTCATGGCACACGCTGAGGCATGCTCCTGTATTCATGGAAGATCTCGAAGCTGCGTGGGCATACGACCCGATGCTCGACACGGATCCTTTTGACGGCGATATGGCCGTTGACGACAGGGAGCGGCCAGCGGCCGGCGAGATCACCACGGTATTGCCTTCTCTGGCGCCGTCGTCCTCCCTTAAAAGGTCTCGTGCAGAGATGTCTCGCTCCAATAGCTTTGGGGCAGCCGCTCCTCCAGTTGACGGCGAAGCGACCCGGGCAAAGCGGACTTGCCCAGCACCACCTTCCAGCTCCATCTTGGAGCTGCGAAGGCACGTTGAGACGGCATGACTGGAAGAGGATGTACGCTTTGCAACTGAGCTGGATGAATGACCGGCGCTTGGATCAGGGCGGTAGAATAATCTTATAGACTTTTCAACTTTATGTGCCCAGACGAATATGTAAGGAAGGAAGGAGGGCATGTATCAACATTTTTTCAACAACAGGCGTTTGACAGAGACGGGGAGGGGGCGTATTCTCATATATTTGGCGGGCTTTTTTCGGGTCGAGAAAGGGGTATCTGGTAACAGGATTCACACGGTCACTTGTCCAGCATTCATCCTATAGGTGTTGTGTGTGTGTCGGTGTTTTAACTGCATTTTGTTGGACTGCTTATCCCCTTGGGACTCCGAGTTCGAAGCCAAATAACTTTAGGGATCTAGCACAGATATTTTGGGACGATTTAGCTGGAAGGAGGCAGGTGCGTGATGATGATGGTGATGATGATGGCAGAATGAGGAGTGTATCAATGGAACTTGGAAGTTGTATCGAAAGAAATCAAAAAGTTTCTCCCCTCTCAGGAGTGCAAACGAATTGCATAACTTTAGTGACACTGCTGCCAAAGAAGGGTGAGAAATGTGTGATATTAGAACCATCACTTCCATAAGCATGAGTGAATACCCGAGAAAACAGTCATGGCTGACAGAGTCTGGGAGGGAACCGAGTAAAAACCAAACAGAAATTCGGCAGTATTTCAAGAGGAAAAGGGCGGTCAAGGCTTTGTCTCACAGTCAACATGGTTTGTTCAACACACAAACGTTCGAACTGTAAAGTTCTTGGAAGTTCTTCCAACCTCACTCAGCTGAGGCTCCCTTGGCGAACAAGCCCCAATTCGGGACTTGGGGACCGAGAGTGTCTGTCATGCCTCCTCGAAGTACGTATCGGGGTATTCATCCTGTGGTCCTTTGGGCTAGATGCCCGGTGTTTGTGTACCTTAAACTAGTGGCAAGTAATTGTAGCATCTTGGCATAGGTAAAGACTTTGGTCAGCTGCATCTCGTCCTTGTGTTTCCAGACGGAGCAGTTGGGTTTGGTGGCTGTACCGAATCGGATGAGAATAAGTGAAGTTTAGTTGCCGCCAATGTTTCCGTCCGAAGCTCACCGAAGTGCTAAGTGCCAAACCTCAAGTGGTCAAGGCACACTGCTCCACTTTCTGCCCTACGGCAAGCCGTTGGGGTTTGGGGTTGGATGGAACTTCTTATCGATAGGGGGTGGGTCGGGTCCCGCAGCACCCTAGCAGACAAGCGGACTCAGACGTGCCAGCCGTGCCTGGCTGGGCTTCTCGATCCAATTCATCCACCGACGACAAAGCCAAGTCACAACTTGAACCCTTTCCACTTCCCAGAATCGCGACGACAGATCATACGCACCCATCGGCTGTACGATTCACCCGCAACGACGGCGATTTAGTCTTAACCACGAGTAGTATTTATTACGCGGACCTTCTGCCACCCCCCGATCTTCAACTGTTTTCCTTTCAATCAGCAAACCGGCAGCAATCGCAAACCTCCAGTTGCCGCTGTCTGCGCCCAGACGCGAATACAGCCTTCTACCATCGCCATTGGTATCACATAACCCACTCAGTCTGCAGTCATGGACTTAGATATCGAGATGGACGTGGACGACGTCCACGACGTCCAAGACATCCCCCAGATACCTGAGGCATACACACACGACATCATCACGGGCGAGGAACAGGTTCGCGCTGGCACCATTCCCTACCTTTCAGCTCAACTGAGCCAAGACAAGTCACTTATCAATTATTCTCCTCTACAGGAACCCGGCGAGATCGATGACGACGCTACCGATAACGTCAATGGCAGCGGCGACATTGCCCAATCCGATAAGACGCTCGTCCCTACAAAAGTTCACGTTCGGGGTCTCGACACATTCAACCCTCAAGAGGTCAAAGACTACGTCTCCGAGCATTGTGGATTGACCCAATTCGACAGAGTGGAGTGGATCGACGACACCAATGCAAACCTTGTCTTCAGGTCCGAAGCTCTTGCCCAGGAAGTTCTCGTTGCGCTCGCATCGGTCGCTATTGCCGACCCGACAGCACTACCGCCACTGGAAGAAGTGCCCTCCAAAGGCTTCTCGGGAAAACCAGATAGCGTTCTCTTCGTCCGCTTTGCCGTCCAGGGAGACAGGAAAGTTGTTGGTGCTGCGGCCCGCAGCCGTTTCTACCTATTACATCCAGAGTACGACCCAGAGGAGCGAAAGAGGCGTGGCGAGTTCAGGGACCGGAGGTACAGGGATCGCGATGATGGCCCACGGGGCAGGAAGAACTACAGGAACGACCGGAACGACCGCCGCAGAGAACATGAGGAAGAGGAGGGTGAGCCGTTTGACGTCAATCTTTACGATGACGACTCGACAGCACTAGGCAAGCGCGTCACAAGGCCCGGTTCGACACGTCCTCAGTCGCGGTCTCGGCGCGGCTCGGTTTCCAGCAATTTCTCGACCGAATCTAACAGATTGAGGTCGTACTCGCGACAGAACCGAGAAAAGGAGCTCTTCCCTGACCGACGCCGCTCTAGATCGCCACGCCAGCGCAACCGATCGGCATCACCTCTACGAGACCGTGACAGCGACGCACGGATGGATCTGGACGCCGAGAGAGACAACAGATACAGGGATGCTGCTTCGCTACGTAGCCGGGAGAAGGGTCGGGCGATCAAGGAGCGTTTGGCCAGGACCGAACCCAGAGACAGAAGCAGAGGAAGCGACAACACCACCAAGGAGCTTTTCCCTTCCAAAGCCAACAAGCCCAAAGAACTCTTCCCTACCAAGGTATCTTCGACAATTGGCAGCAGAGCGCAGATGGATCAAGTGGAGGAGGACGTCGGAAAGTTGGCAAGCGGTATGTTCGACATTTCTTTAGCAACTTCATTTTCAGCAGTCACGGCGGAAGCAACGGTATCGCATCACTTCTCCAAGCAGGAAGGTTTCTCCTTGCGGGGTAACACAGTCTTTTCGACGCTTTTGAATCTAGAAAAGACCGCCTCCCCTCACAAGTAGAGCCCTTCCTCCTTGGCAAAGTGGTGCGGGAATGCGGCATCTTTCAAGACACGGCTTCGCATATCACCATATGAGAAACGCCCAAACGCTACAGATGACAAACGCTTGAGTCAAAATTAAATAACGAAACGTTTTGATGAATCGATGATTAACGACATGTATAGCAAAACTAGCAGATCGGATTACGCGAACAACGACGACAACGACACCCGCTGGCGGCTTCAGCATTCGCGGTCTCGCGACCAAGAACATTAACACCGACCAAGGGTTCAGGATCAAGGGGACAGGGACGACAAGCACTACAGTGAAAGAACTATTCCCGGAGAAGTTCAGTGGAACAGGAACCAACGTAGGAAAAGAATTGTTTGCTGAGAAATTGGAGGGTAGAGGACAGAGGAGGCGGAGAGCCGAGGATATGTTTTACTGAGGCGGAGGCGCTTCTGAGGAGGAATAGACTGATTCATGCTTTGGCCAGGGGACACCTGAGGCTTACATACTCGAAGTTGGAGCTGGATCATCGATATTTCTACGGAGGGGACAGAGCAAGACGCTCATCCATGGCATTGTGTTTGTCTGGCCTTTTATGGACACCGCGGTATCATCGGTCAGTGCATGCCACTTGCGGCTGGCTTTTCCCTATCAGCCTCTCAACTTGGAGCCCGGACACAACCCCGAAGAAGGTGATAGTTTGAAGGGTACGATTTGGTGGAAGAGGTATTTCAGGCCAACTAGGAAAACAATCGTGGCTTACGCTCAGCCCATAGATGAGATTAGGTCAGTGACGGTGCAGCCAAGCAGTTGCAGACTGGCTAAATTGTATAATATCGACAAAAACTTAAAAGAAAAGGTTAACGCTGACCCGCTAGGTCGGGAAAACTGCCAGTGATGAATTAGGCCGCAAATCATTCTGCGCACAATTATTGCAAATTCGTGTTAACGATTGCGCGTGCCAGCAATGAGATGTTTGTGAATCTAGTTGGGAAGGCGGTAAGGTTCATGAAACAAACTTTGTCATATCCTTGTGGAACAAGGAAGGAGCAAGGAACACAACAAAGCTGAAAGGAAGGAGCGCAGTTTCAAGTTGCTAAGGTATCCATTCACTGCTGTGCCTCTCGTTCGCTTTCATCCGAAGCAATATCTTCATTGCTGCCGGCGAGTGCGGTTGGCAACTTGACCCAAACGGATTGTTTTGGCATCAAGCTCTGTTATTACGAACCCTGTCCGCATCCCGCTTTCCATCGGAATCTGATTGATTACCCTCTCAGCTCAACCGCATACCGCATCCGAACCATATCGACTTTCCCGTCGCTCTACCCCGCCAAGTGTGGCACATTCAGGTCACTCAAAACTCGGTACCACTCAACGCTTTCATTCGCTCTCGCCTCTGTTCACGACGAATCCATGTTATGCTGCTAGGTGGTGAGAGGACGGTGGCGCGCAAACTCGAGCTAACTAACTACTCACCCGCTCGGAGGAGTTCCGCCAGAGTTTACGTTCGGTCGGCAGCCAACATCGAAAACCGTGCGTAACGAGCGGGATGGCCGACAGCACCAGCTGGCTGCGTAGATTCCAGCAATCTCGCGCGCAACCTCCCAAACAACAACCGCAGCCCATCATCACTTCTACTTCGGAGGATAGCTTTGTCACAAGTGTAACGACCATCGACAGAAGTGGGAACGCCTCGCCTTTATCCCATCCTGCGGCAATCAGCAAACACCACATCAATGGCGGTGGCATCCGCGTAGTCAGCAACGCCGGGAGCGGAAACGGAAGCGGGAGCGGGGGAATCGGAGGTAACGCCACCGGGACCGGACCACTACCGCAAATGCCGCCGCCGCCGCCGCCCAAAACCCCCACAGCGGGTGTCTTCTCCTCGGGGGCTTCAACAGCAAGCTTACGTCGACCATCACTGCCTCATCAGAAATCGCCAAGTGATAGCAATGTTAACGGCACAAGCAACCGATTACTGAGGTCGAGGCCGTCTGCAACTTTCCAACGAGTCTCAAGTTTGCTTAATCTCGGAGGAGGAGGAAATGGAACGAATTCGCCCTCGGCCACCGCCCCATCGTCACCCTCGTTTTCTTCCGGACGACCTCGTGAGGGAAGCGGTGGCAGTACCAGCCGCTTTACCTTCTTCCGGCCCCTGACGCCGAGTGCTGCGGCAGCACCGGCACCGTCGCTGAGTGCGCTGCCGCTTAGCAATTGGAGTGCAACGAATGGAGAAGATGAGGACGACTGGCTTGGAGGACTGAGGCGAAATGCTGCTCGGGAAAGCCCCTGGCATAATCCCAACTTGATGCAGATGGCGGAGACGTTGCAGGCGGTTATGATGACGAAGGGGGACTCGATGGCTCCTCTTCCTGTTCAGTGGGTCACTTCTTGTTTTTCTCTTTCTTTCTTTTTTTCCTCGGGACGATGAGGAAGTTGCTAACGAGCCTTTACCTGAAAGATATAACTCGCTTGTCCACAACGTACTCGAGGGCTTCGCACACCTCACAAAGCGGTTGCAGGCCCTAGAGCAAGAGCTAGCTGAGCTCAAGAACCTTCGAGAGAAGGAACTCGAGCAGTTTCGAGGAATCAGCGAGGAGTGGATTCAACGGGAGGACGGCTACAAGGCGGAGATCAAGCGGCTCGAAGTCGTACTGGCTAAGGAGAGCAAAGATGGCCTGGCAAGCGTTACGCTGGCGAGGCAGGACACGCTCATTGATCGGTCAGGCAGCAAGAGGTTCCAGGCGAGGTTGAAGAGGATGAGTACTACCGCTGACCGGGATCGAGGTATGTTGGGCGAATCAGTCGACGAGACTGTGCAAGATTGTGAAGAGTTGATGGAGTGATGTTGACCGTTTCTTCACAGCAGGAGAGAGCGATTATGATGAGGACAAGGTGGTGAACGAGCGCTTTGGAGGTGAGACTACCAGGGATGGAACTCGCTATGGGATAAGAGGTACGGGACCTCATGGCTTTTACTTCCTAACGATAATCGATGCAATTTACTGACTCTTTCTTCGCTTCTCAGAGAGCTCCCTGCGTAACCTTCCAGTGGACAATGATGTCCGCATCAGTCAACTGGTAAAGAAACGAGCGGCGGAGGACAAGCGGCGGCGTAGATCACAATTGCAGCACTCTATGGTTCCTTCTCCTCCTTCTGTAGAAGAGACTCTCGTTGATTCATTATCGTCACTGTCGCCTCCGTCACCAACCAAGCCATACAGTGGCCCTCGATCGAGCCAAAACCAATATATGGGCTCCGTAAACAGCCAAATCTACAGTCCCTCCACATCCAGTAGCTCCACCGCGAGTACGGCCTCACCAGAGGCAAGCCGTAGCTTGTCTCACAGGCGCAACATCAACAATCTCGTAATCGAAACCGGGGACGTATCCACGGCCGTGAATCCACGACAACGGCGCATCTTTTCGTATATCGAAGGCGAGGCCGAGGTGCTGGGAACGGCCAATACTGCTTCAGACGATCGCCAGCACCCATTTCAAGACTATTATGAGTTTGCCAACACACTCAGACAGCAGGAGGGCCGGAGTGATACACAACCGCTAGCCGGTACAAATGGCATTGACTTACCCGACCGTAACTCAACGTCAAAATTGCTCACAACAGCGGAAGATTTTATGAACAAGCCATCATCAACACGCCCAGCGGAAGAAGACTCGACCACGTCCTTCATGGGTACTTCTTCAAAATCCAGTAACCTCACAGGCCTCACTCCCTCCAACTCCACCGGCTCAGTGATCTGGGTAGGAAAGCGCAACAGCAGAGCAGCAGCCGCTGCGGTCACCTCCTCCTCCGCGGCTGAGGTTGACCAACCCAGTTACTACGAGACGAGTGTCGGAGTCGGCGTCGGCGGCGGAAATTACGAGCTTGGAGAGATAACCAGCACTACCGCGGTAGAAGTACCCAGCACAAAATACTACCACTACAGCCCGACGATGACAACGGCGACGGCCACAAGCCCAAGACTAGCACCAGAACTTGGACCAGGATCAGGAGCAGGACCGACCATACCTCCCCGGACTACCTCCCACCAGCAGCAGCAGCACAAAGTCGGAAGTGTAAGTCCTATCAAGGACAGGTTTGAGCAGCTGTTTGAGCAGCAGAAACAGCAAAAACAATCACAACCTCAGAATGAGACGAGTCCCGCCCGTGTGGCAGCGGCTCAAAAGGGAGACAAAGACACAACAAAGTCTCCGATGAACAAGAATCACGTCTCAGCGACAGTGGCAATGTTTAATGAAGGGACTTAAGGGGATCTGCGTTGAGCCGCTTAGCCGCTTAGCCGTTGAACCTTTCTTCTGGGATAGGACCTGGGAGAGGACTGTTCTGTTTGTGGGGATTATGGAGTTTGGTTTGTCGTGTTTTGTAATGAGGGCGTTTTGAGGAGGGATCAAGGGGGAAGGAAGGATCCAAAGGATCAAAGGAAGGAGGTGGCAACTGGTAATGGGTTACAGATGAATAGGTGACTGGAGCTCCGGGGAGAGAGGGGATATTTGCTGGAAATTGCTGCTGGTCATCGGATTTGTTCTTATGAGGGCGTGAGGGCGTTGTAGGGATAGGCCATCTTGATACCTACGCACGTTGTGGATTCACGCATCTACCTTAACCTCGGGGGAAGGGAGGTATATCAGTGTGGGGAGTATCCAAGGACTAGGTCTCCTCAGGGCAAGACTGTCAACGGCTCTCACGCGGGGGCAGAGTGGCCAGCGGATTCACGATAGATTACTCAGCGGCGGTACGAAGCGTTTGATTTTCTACACTCCGTTATGGAAATACTAGCGCAAAGATCGGATCTCCACCGGTCTCAAAGCTCGAGATTCAGAAACTCGGCGTAGTGTCCGTCTTTTCTCACTAGACTAAATGTCCACACACACACACACACACACACACACACCTGCGATGTACCTTTGAACAGTCAAGTGGCAAAAAGACTTGAGATATTCACGGTCCACGCTGAGGCATGTGAATGAAGGACTAGTGTCTCCGGTTTAAACGTGAACAAAGTGAGTGGCGAACTTGTCTGGCCCTCTCTATGGGAAGGGAGTACCGGCGCTGAGTAGGTACTTACTTACCTCCACTACCTCGGGACTTCACGGAGGAACCTAAATTTCATACTGTCTATCTATCTAATGGGTCTCTCGGCTTTTCGTTTTGAGACGACTTCTTGAGGCCTCGCGAGTGAGTAGGTTATGTACCTAAGTAGGTGTTGTGTAGATAGCTGAGGCAGAGGGATATATCTACGATGTCCAGCTGTATATACATACGTAACAGACACTTCACTTCACATCGTTGACTTCACACTTATACCCTTCACGTAACGTTTCATTCACGCCATGTACCAGCCCGTCAAGAATTTCGGTCATGAGAACAAACGAACACGGGCTCCTCCGTTAAAAGAAATACTTCCCGAACTCTGAAGAGGCTCTCCGCCGTGAAGTCAATAGAAAGTGTCAGGGGTAAAGTGGGTCTCGCCATCTCTTCCTTCTAAGTCCTTGTCCTTGAGTTCTTACGAGTGGTGATTGGGACCTGGAGACACTCACTCATTACTTGGATGCCTACCTTAATATTTGACATTGCAGTACATGGAATGCTGGCTATGGTTCTCTTACCCGGTAGATAGCCTGGAGTGGCAAGTCGGTACCCGTCCGGGCCGTGTGTGGATGGATGAGTACCTAGGAAAGCGTACCCCGGAAGAGGAAGGAAGGAGAGTGCGGACTGATGAAGAAGCTCGTAACCACAACCATAGCCCCGGGACCGAAAAATATCTAGTGCAGTGACGGCGCAAGGCGGCAAGGACGGAATATGCGCCGCTATCGGCTATCACTACGTATTAGGTAGGCATGTGATGCCCAGCAGATAGACAGGCCCTGTACTTAGGCAGGTAAAGCAGGCAGTATGTATCATGGGTGGAAGAAGCAAAGATGTTGTCATGTGCAATGATGATGGCGGCAAGGATGGGATTATACTGGATAGGGGTTCGCGAAACGGTCATCGTATCTCCATGGTTAAGGTACGTACAGTGCACTATGCACATCTGAAATTACATACCATTGTGATCGAAAATAAATACACCATGAGATCTGAAAGTGAGATCGTGCGAAAGAAGTGGAGAAAGTCCGATGATGAAACGAGAGTATGATACAGAGTCAAAAGGTTCGAAAAAGCCAAGGGAATGAAATAGCAAAAGAAAAAAAGAAAGAGAGAGCCATAAGGGCAAATCCGAGATTTGGAAACAGAAGAAGAAAAAAACGACAAAAGCAAAAAAACAAGCAAGCAAACAAGGGGAAACGGAAAAATTCCGGTTTCAGCTCTCCAGAATTCCGCGTTTTGGGACAATAGAGGAAGGTTCGTTGTAAGAGGAAGGAGGATGAAAAAGCCAAAAAGCAAAAAAGAGAGAAGAGAAAAGAAAAAAAAGATGCAAAAAGATTTCCCCTCGACCGGAATCGAGCCGGTGACCTTTCGGTATACAATCGTACAATTACAGCCGAACGTGATATCCAACTACACCACAAGGGGATATTTTTGTCCCTTGAAACTTGTGCTTAAGTACCCTGTCCTGCTATTGCAGTGCATTGTAGTGATGCAACTCGGTCACAACAATACATACACCCTTGGTTGTTGTTTGGTGCTATGACCACAACTTCCACAAAGTGATGATTGTTCGGTGGTTTGATAACCTGTAGTGGTTCTTGCTTATCAAGAAGAGACATTCGATAGAATTATTGTCAATTGTCACCATAGCACAAGCACAGACACGGAGTCCCACTGGATCTCTGTTGGTGCAACAACGCTTGACGCTTGTTTGCAGCGGGACACACCTCACACCAAAGTCAAAAATTGAGGCAGATTTGGTGACACAAGGTTTTGTTGCTGCTCATCAACTTACTGCTGGTTGGTCGGTATTGTGTGCGTATAACGTCTATCACCGAGAACTATTTACGAAGTAGCTAGTAGGTGCCGTGTGGATGTCATCAATAGCAGCTGCCGCCGAGTCGGGACCGGGCTTCCTTGCCGGTGGGTAATCTTCCTTTCGATAGTGTAAACATGAAAGTCTCTTGTGTGAATAGTTTGCAGCCGGGCAGGAGTGTAACGTTGAACATGATGGACATTTTTTCCCCATGTGAATGGCGGTCGGTACCGACTGTTGCCGGTGCTGGGAAACGGATGGTCGGTACAACAACAAGGGGACTCTCCGGTGATGTCTCATCCCACTTTCACCGACTTTGCACTAGCAACGTCTTCGATGACGAAAGCATGATGGTAAAAGGCTTGTTGATGGGATTGTAAGGTAAGATCGTTTGTATCCATCTTTTTGATTTCCCGATCCATTGTTGGATATCAATTCAGTATCTCCACCTCCACCGGATGATGGGGGTGGAATAGAGGTTGATTCATTGTTGGATATCAATTTAGCATCTCCACCTCCACCGGGTGATGGGGGTGGGATAGAGGTCCGTTGTTGCTCGGGGTTCGGCCGTTCGTTTAGTTCGATTACTTCTCGGCCATGAGGCTGTTGGAATATCCAGTAGCTAGGGGACAGGTGAGGAACCCTTTAGGGACCAAACAAGGGCGTACGATAGGTCAGGTCGGAAAAGGCCCATTCTCGACCAATCCCTATCGGGGATCCTCTTTCGGATACATCTAGATCCGCGAACTGAAACCTGGTAGATGACGAGATAGGCGCCGCTCTTCGGCAGTCTCGTAACGGACGCCTCATACCGAAACACATCGGGCCTGGGTCCTGGGGGAACCCTGGGTACCTGGCTGCTGGCTGGCGAGAGGCCTGGCCTGGTGATCGCTGCGCGCCGAGCAGTAGGTACACCGGGCACCGACAGGTGCGGAAAGGGAACCAAGCACACGTTGTGGTACAGTGGTACACACAAGACCCCTCGCCCAGCAAAGAGGGTCAAAAAGACGGAGCATGGAACTTAGGAAGAACGATGGAGCTGTCCCTTCTCACCCCCTTGTCCTGCTGAACCTCCCATGCGCGAGAGTGGGTTTGCTGCGCAGAATGGGATTCCCGAAAGCGTTGTTGACATTGCCTAGTGCACCGTTTTGTCTGGTATTGGCCCTTGCATCTGATCTCCCCCCCTACCAATCGCGGGGGTCACGACTCCCAGAAGGATGCTTGGATACCAGGCGCCGCGCAAGGGTGCCACGGTCAATAACGGTGAGAGCCTGCTTTTCGGTCCGTTTGAGGGGCCAGCGACACTGTGTTCAAGGTGAGACTGTACTTGTTGCAAGAACGGAGGCGCTCTCTTCGTGCGACGCACATGGCAACAAGGGGGGTATCTCTCCGGGCTTCAACCCGATCGGGGGGCTCGGGGGGCTTGTCAACAATGTATTTTGTTGTTGGTGAGAACAAACAAAACTGTGTTTCTCGTTTGTGTGTGCCTTGCCAGGCGCAAGCTAGTAACCGACACCGTTGGGACTAAAATCGGCGGGCTTTGTTGGACTTGTCGTGGTGGTCGTTGGAAGCGCAAAAAATGGTTCAGGTTCCATCCATCCAGTCAGTCAGTCATCCAGTCGCATGAATGATATCGGGTCGATGGACCAATGGAGGAAATCCAAGGCGTGGAGGACCAGCAACCAAACGAAATCCATGCACACATACGGTAGAATCCGTACGCACATACGGTAAACCCACTTTTTAAGGGTGTGCAGCCAATCAGAGTCCTAACCACGAACCTTAAGTCGCTCGACGACGACGACGAGAGCTTTAAGTTCATCCTCCCTACTAATCAACAACAGATGGCTCACGGAACTCATTTGCACCGGCAACGCGGTATAAGCAAGGTCCTATAGTTATGGCACTATCTTCAGTGCTACCCGCAGAGATGGACCGTTTGGTGGGCAGTCTTCGCTTGCACGAAGATATGATGGGGCAAGTACCTTAAAGCCAGGACCTCCAAGCCTTACACAACGCAGCCTTCAACACCCTCCCCAGCATTTGCAGCAAGGCCCAGTTCTCAGCTAGAGGTAGACAAATGGCCGAATTTCCAACTTCGAATAACCTCGTGAAAGACGATGGAGATTTCGTGAGGCGAGTGCAAAACTTGGTGGTTTTTGGTGACCGTGTTGGCTTAGAGTGGGTTACCGTATGTGCGTACGGATTCTACCGTATGTGTGCATGGATTCCGGCAACAAAAGGCCACTCTCGTGTCACGTCGGCCGGATCTGAAGGTGCGATCTTGCATGGATAGAATGGGTTAAAATGGGTTAGGTGCTCGTCTTTGGGTAAAACGGCATCCTACGTATACAGGTATACTTGCGAGGGAAATGCGTAATCCGTCGAATTAGTGACGACGGTGATGGGAGTGTTGTGATGCAGAACAGGGACAGGGCGCTCTTCGTGCTGGAGCGCCGAGAATAGCCAATGCAATATTTACATTGCATTTGCGGGATCTACAGCGGGGAGCACAGACGTTTGGGTACGTTTGGTGATGTCGACGTTGCGCGAGGTCGCCGACCTGGCGTTCCCGACGTTGCACTTGGTCCCCGCTTCATGGGTTGGGGCGTCAACCCCCCCCGTCGTGTCTCGTCCCACCTCAACCACCACCTTGCGGCTGCCGACGAGAGCTGGATCCTGGCTCTTAACACAACCGTTTTATCGTCCCCAAGTTTTTACATTTCGACTCTGTAATGGCCGGCCCCCTTGCCGCGGCCGCTCCCTTTCTGGGTGTCCTTGATGTCGGTTTCGGATTCGTATGTGTATCGGCTTGTAACGCGGGGTCCTGTTAGTGGTGCCTTCATCCACTCTGGCTGCTCGTCCTGTCGAGTGCTGTTCAGTTCTCGAACAGGAACAAATATCGAGAGCCTGATATAGGCTGGGCTACTGCTACTGGTACCCTGATGGTGGGAAGGTGATGCGATGCTAGGATGTTGGATGTTGCTGTCAACGCCTGAACGTTCTCGAGCTTCTCTGCAATTGACAGCCAATAAGACACTCGCCTAAGGAACTTCGGAATTCGCTTCAGTTGACTCTGGATTGGATAGGGGCTGCATGGTGGAAGAATGGGTTTGGTGTGTGTAACTCACTCGCTCACTGTGTTGTGAAGAAAAGAGAGAGAGAAACACTGAATCGAGTTCACAGACCAACGGTAAAACGGTTCAGGAAAACGGAAACGAGGTCCCCAAGAGAGAAGACGGTTCGTCCGAAACTGGATTGGGAATGTTGGCCGTTCACGTCGATCAATCAGTGACGCTCTGACGTCCGCGTTGCAACCCTGTCGAGTCTGGACCCCCGCCAGAAAAGGGAGCCGATCCGCCGGTACGGCTCTGGCGCCCGTGCCACATACAGATGGACGGGACGGGACCTGGGACTGCGTGCGGTCGGGGAACTCTTATGCGCTCCAGTCTAGAAAACACTGGCCGTCCTTCCACCGCAACGGCACGGGCGGGCAGTAACCCTCGCAAACTCACACCGTAACAGTCTCATCATGCCCGTTCAAAGTTCCATCTCATGCATCCGTGTCCGGGTTGGGTCACCCCCGGTTCCCATGGTGTCAGAGCGGGTGAATGGATGGCAAATGGTGAAGATGTGCAGGCATCGAGACATCAGCATCAGCATCGACATGAACGTCACGCATGGCTCCCATGGGCATCATGAACAAGGGCATCATCTCCACGAGGCGATTCATGAAAGTCCCACGATAATCTAGTGCACGATATAGTCGATAGTCCCACAATATGGATCCAACTATGGAGTCCGATCCCAATGCCTTCTCCAGCGCTGCAGAGATCGAGACTAAAAAGGAAATGAAGGAAGAAGCTCGTTCACAAGTCCACACCACAGCGATGCCATCAACTGGAACACCGTTACGAATTGTGGGGAGGGATCTACAGTCCCGTCATGCCCCCTTTTACCCACCGAGCCACACCTCCCTCTTGGGTTTTCGGTTTCGGTTTGATGACGGTTTAACGTGTTCCTGGCAGAATCCTGGGCGCCAACACGCTCGCGAACTTCCACACTAGGCCGAGCAAAATACCCGCCCAGGCCACCATTGCTGACAGGCAGGAAGCTGGAAGGCAAACCAGTCTAAAAAATCCATCACTATCACCGACTTTTCGTTTGGGCCAGGAAAGCTTGCTTAGAGGTACCTTACTCATGGCCACACCTCCATAGTAATTCATTGCGGTGACTCGTGGGAAATGGAAGGTAGCTGCACAGTGTTATCCTCACGCTGAGTTACAAACCGAGAGATATTTTTTTTTTCTGTTATATCTCCGAACTTTGTCAATAAACCCGATGGTATACCGAGAAATCACCAAGTTCCCCACCCTAAACTCAGATCTTCATATCGATGTTTCTAGGTAACTTTTGCTAACTAATTGCTAACCGGCAACTTCCATTTTTCGCAGCGCTATCTCGGCGACAGTGGCATTTTCCGGCACCGTTCAGGCCGTTGAAAGCTTATCTGCCCCTCTTTCTTCGGGCATCATCTCACAATCTCAGCTTGCCGGGTCCCATCCCCCATCCCCATCCCCATCCCCATCCCCCATTACCATAACCCCTTGTTCAATCTCGCCCATGCTGCCCACATGTAACCCGATCGACCGAAATCTATGTACTAAGTTTACCCTTCAGCTACCCCGTCGTTGTCTATCATGCTCCGTTTTTGTAAAGCCGAGTGGGTGAGCTGAACCCCTTCAGAGTTTTTATATGTCTCCGGGCCCATGACCCCTGTCGCTCATCCAGACCGGGGATGAAGTTTTTGAATTGGGGGTTGTTTTGCAGTTTTGAGCGAGCGTTTTTGGTTTCGGATCCAACTCCGGTCGTCTCACAGACCACACACAACCACCACAAGCACAGGAACCACATTCAGAACCACAATCAGAACCACCTTTCAAGAATGAAGAATGCCATGATGGAGTCCCGTAGACTATGGAACTCGCCGTCGTGCATATGTAACCCACAAAACACCGACATTTCCAACATCTCCGGTGTAAAGGTACGCACGGGCTAGTGCCCAAACCTAACCAAACTAACTAACTACCATTTCCCGCATCGCGAACACGAACAGTGGACACACACACACACACACAACAAAAAACCGTTCCGCTTCATGCAGTTCGTTAGGAGCAAAGTGAAACTAGCTTCACCGTTGCTAGTGCCAATGCTTAGTGTCCGCTCCTTCCACTCCTTCCTTTCCTTTCCTTTATTCCCGACTCCTCAACCCTCTCGTTCTCCATCCGAGTTGCCGGCCCCTCCCCCTTTCGGAATGACGTCAAATTTCCGTTGTCAAGCAGTAGCATGTGGTTTCAGTTCAGTTATCTCTAGTTCGCATGGTTTTTCCTCAGCCTACTATGTGGAGCTCTTTGTGATTTTTTTTCCTCATGAAATCGGTGTGCGGTTGTTGTTGTTGTTGTTGTTGTTGCTGTTGGTGACTTGTGTGTGAAGTTGTCGGTGGTCATCATCCTCGGTCAAACTTACCCTTTTCTGATTTATCGGGAAAAGGAAGTGAACACCGAGAAACAAAACATTTCCTACCGTGAATACATATGTCTAACACAAATCTTCGAAAAATCGGAAAATCGGGGATTAAAAGAAGCTGTACCATCGAAGATGAGAAGAACAAGGAGGCGTTCGAAAAAAAAAAAATACGCCAGACTCACAACGCCAGAATCAAAAACACAAAGGTAAGAGGGGGGAGATTAGAATTGCAGAGGCAACCGATTTGTTGTGTGTGTGTGTGATCTAAATTTAGCAATTTGCAGTTCCTGGGTAGTTGGTTGCACAACCTCAACCTGAACATTGAACACTTGAACCCGGGGAGGGGGGGAGGGTCTCGTATAACACGACATTTTTCTCTACTTGAGGTATCCTAGTTCGTATAACGGGAACACAAGAAACGGGCATTTTTCTGAACGCTGGTAAGGACTGGGGTCATGTCATGAATGAACCTACGGATGACCCCTTGGTTAGGTACGGAGTCTTTTGGTATGCAAAGTCGTAAGCCAATTTATCAGCTCACCGGCTGGATCAACTCGCAATCATGTTCACTTTTTTACTGTTGGACGCAGACACAGGACAAGATAGAACAAGCAAGAGCAGACTGCACTCTAGTTTGGTTTGATCTTTGGTTGATTTGACCGATTGATTCTTCTTTTGATTTGGAATACAACATGCAGTAAATCATCTGCTGATGTGGGGGTATCTCAACAATAAAGAAATGTTCTCGTCCGTCCGTCCGTCCGTTCATCAGGCCATCCGACCCTTGATACAACAAAAGATGAAAAGGAAAACACCGACTGACTACCTGATTGTAGGTAGTGCGGGGGTGCGTAATGTGTTCTATCCATCCGCTATGCCCAGCCCAGTTTTTGATTCCTTCCTTTTCCTGTTAATTACCAGTCATGGTACATTGATGATGATTGAGCTGTGAAAACAGATGAAGCCCCTTGAGTGCGGTGATGCCACCATCAAGCTCAGGGTGGATGCTTTACATTGTTCTGATCTGATATACCATGTTAGTTTCGTGCTTGCTTGAGAAGGGGATCATGATCAGGAAAACTTACCACATGTTATCATGCTCACGCTTCGATACACTCGTTAGCCCGTGGCTCTTAGGATGTTATGATATTTGTTTGTAGTGGATGGTTGTTATTGTCTTCCATTTGCTTAAGAGCACAGGAGACTCGTGACAGGAATCCTGGCATGGTTCTTCTCGTCTCGTTGAACCAAGGCAATAGGCGAGCTAGGAGCCGTTGGGAGGTACTCGGTGGCAGAAGGGAAGTATCCCATTGATGACTGCTGAGGGAAAGGAAGACTGGGACGACGGTAGGCCGCAGGTGGTGCGAAAGCCGCTAGCTGTCGGCGATCAAACTCATCCAAGTCTCCGATGGATGAGGTAGTGGGAGAGGGCAAGGTGCTGAATGGGGCAAGCCGCCTTGATGTAGGTGGTGTCAAGAGCCGCAGAGTGTTGTCATTTTGGCACTCGTTTCCATCATGATATCCATCGGTAGTGGGGAAGGTATGTGATGGAGGGAAGGAAGGAGTGAAGGGAGTGGTGCATCGAGCCTGCTGCTGTTGCTGCTGCTGCGGCCTAGAAGGGAACCACTCGATGGACTCATGGACGCGGTGATGAAGGCTGTCGTTGAAGCTGCTGGGGCTGGATGGCCTCCTCGATCCCGTGTAGATGTCCTGGGGATATCTGATGGGGCGCTGCATGTGTGCTCTTGGCGGTTGTCCGGGGCTGCTTCTTAGAACGTCGGAGGCAGACACGCGTCTTGGTGCGCTCTGTCTCCTTAGCTGGTTCTTCTTGCGGTTGTTGAGGCCATTCCAATAGTTCTTGACGGCGTTGTCGCTGCGACCCTGGAGCTTCCTGGCAATGTCTGCCCAGCGTGGGCCCTTCAGATCCACCTCTCTAACGATGATAGCGGCCTCTTCCTGTGTCATAGGTCCGTGGTTCAGCCCTGGCTTCAGGTTTTGATGCCATCGCTCTCGGCACTGCTTGGGGGTTCTGGTTCCGAGAATGCGGGCAACGTTGACCCAGTTTCCCGGTCCTAGGTCCTTGACCAACTTGATGAGTCGCTGATCCTCCCCTGCTGACCAGGGACCTCTCCGTTGGTCGGGCATGTTAGACATGATGGTCGAAAATGTCGAAGAAGTGGACGACAGTTTTGGTGTTGGTGGCGATGGAGATTGATAATGTTGTCCTTGTGTGGTGCTTTGTTGATGTCGAATCGGGGTGGATGTCGATGACTGTGATGGATGTTTGATGGATGGTTGAAGGTGGTGTGGGATGGAGGTTGGGGATGGGGGGGAAGATAAAGTAGTTAAAAGGGAACGAGGCATATAAGATGACTGGCCGATCTGAAGTGGTGTGTGGGATGATGTTCTGAGACGGTCTAATGCCACCGACGGACGCTAGTAGATGACGGGATGCGAGGAAGAAGAAGTTGGGCGCAGGCCCAAAATGTCATGTATGTACTAGCCTGCTGGGTATCGGCTAGACCATTTCACTTGCAGGTACCCAAGTGCAAGTCACGACTGGACCTCCCCCCCCCGTTTGAAGGAACAGATTTCCACTTCCGGTACGAGTCTCAGCCAGGGGTCAATTGGTGTACATAGTACGAGATGGGATTCCGCATACCAGGCCGTCCACTTCTCAGCCCCTTACAACGCAGGCAGCGCGGACCAAAACTCGTTTATCTTGTCCAGAATTCGTAAAGCTCGTCTCTACTTCCGGTTGACAAGACTGTGCAGATACCTTGCTGGCGGAGTCTGAAAAATGCCAGTGGCTTCCTTGACCTAATTCGATGTCTGAGAGTCCAGGACCGCCCCTTGTCTGATATGCTACCGTAAGCTAACGCAACCTGAATGCACTGGGGTGCCCACCTTTAGCGCAGCCAGTACCGGTTACGGAAAGCGAGCAAAGACCAAAACGGTCAGTCCCACTATGACGTCTACCGGTACCGGTAGGGGCTGTAATGAAAACGGTGAGTCTGTCTAGACAAGCCCGGGGGCCCATGCTGGCCTAGTTTTGCTTGACAGTATGCCCCTGGAACTGATATCCGTGCGTGGAGGAGGTACCTGAAGACACGTATTCGAACCGCCCCTGGATTGAGGTGAGGAGGCATAATTCGAAAAGGAAAAATAAACTGAGAAAGACAGAGCCTCCAACTCATCTCACTCACTGTTTATTGAAACTGGAGAAGTGGTGAGAGGTAAGAGGCACGTGAGAAACCTCAGTGTCCAAGTCCGGAGCCCGTGCACCTTGCTAAATTGTTAGTGCTGCTTGGGTCTGATTGGCTGGATGGTCAGGTCAGCCAGTTGTCCCTCGTTGGCAGCCGACCGAATCACTGTCCTTCTGTTCACAGCGCCTTTTCCGGTCGCAACCACAATGAATCCCAAGACAACTTAAGCCACGCCATTTCCCTGGATTGACAAATCTACGCGCAAGTTTGATTCAACCCTTTCCCGTCTATTCGATCAATGATCCGCAGTAAAGTGACAAACGAGTGCTAATCTGCGTTTGATTTGCGTGTGCCTAGAGATGTGTCTGCTGCGTAGGTAGCACTTGGTCGCATCCTGATGTCCGTAAAGCTGCGAGCCCTCAATTCGCTCGATCCAATAATATTGACAGCACATCCGTCCAGTACATACCCTGACCATGGCGTTCCCGGGAACTGCCAAAGCCGAAGCTTGTGTGCTGCCTGGGACCTCGAGTGACGATCAGACGCTGTCCGATTGCCCAGTCCTTGCTCAGCGATCGCAGAAAGCCCAGTTCAGGACCGGGAGACCGAAGGGGCCCTTACCTACCTCTGGGTAGATAGGCCTACCGGTGTCGATACTCAACAGGAACACAACAGCAAGAATAGCAGGGAAGGCAGGATCGCCAAAACCAACCCGAATCGTCCACTGAACTCGGGGAGCGCTCGCTTGATAATCTTGAACCCGGTCCATCCACACCATTCCGCTCCGCGTCCGTGATCCGTCCAATCCATCGCCCACCCAAACTGTCGGTTGCATCTGATATGCCAAACCCCGGTGTTGGGGACGTCCATTCCACTGCCCCGGTGAGGAATCGGGGTGAGATGGGAGAGGGACAGCACGGTATGTACCTACACAGCGCTACTGTATATATTGGAGCGCCTGGGTGAGAGAGCGCTCTCACAGGCATCCTTCCCACTGGCCTGGTACCGTACCTATTCTCGTCAGCCATGCATCTGCTCACACACATTGGCTGTCTTCGTCCCCCCTGGCGAATCTTTGTTACGGTAGACGAGGACTCGGATTTGCTGCCGCGGATTATCTTGCATGTCCTCTTCCAAACATGCCTAAGGACGGATATGCTTGATGCCGTGGTTCCCTCTGCTCGCAGTCAAGTTGACTCTTTCTCCTTGGCCGAGGCCGAACTGGCGGTGGGCAGCTCGGTCCAACTCCAAGGAGAAGAGAAAAAAGGAAAGAAAACAGAGGGCAGGGTGAACGCTGACAGGCCAAGCACTCAAGTGAGTTAGGTTACACGGCGGGAATCGCTAACCCATCGCACCAATCTTGACATTACTACGTATACATGTCGGTAACCTTTGAGATCTGGGGTAGTAAGGCGAACCGAGCGCTAGCAAACAGCGGGCGTTTGGCCTTTACAAGCCCACTAAGCCCGGATCTGAGGGTGTCGTGAATTCCGTGCCTCGGCTTGGGAGGGAGATTCCGCTGTTTTTCCGTCCGCTTGTTGCTAAATCCGGACAGAATTGATTAACTCCAGGGGTTGTGTGAGCAGTGGCTTTAAAGGTCATCAGCGTGACGGGATTCTAGCGATCCAGTAACTTGGGTTCCCGACCGGTTAAATGCATCGGAGCAGGGGTTCGGAGGACACAACGGCGCGCGTCCATCTCCCCAAAGCTCAACGGTTAACGCACAGTATGTAGGCAGTGTGTCAGTCAGCGAGCCAGAGTTGGCAACGCTTGGACGCATACCGTACCGACAAAAATCGGACGCAAAGGAGACGAACAAGCGAACAAATTCGCATGGTGATTGGAATCGATGTCCGGACGGAGCACTCCGAGCCCGCGCCGTATTGTAAAGATAATGAAGCCCCAGGCCCGTATAACGAAGCTCGCGCCGGAGGAGGCATGTCTGCGGTTCTCGACATGGCTATATCTCCGGTGCGTGGCTTCCAACCTGAGACATGAGAATTCTACTGTGTTTATAATGTCGTACATTCTCGGGGCAAGTTTAGCCTCTACTAAGCAGGACAAGCAGCCCATCTCTACCATCTTCAACGACCCTATACTGTACACACGATACTGTACTCCCGCTCACATCATAGCAGAAACGGAACAAACACCCGGCGGCGCGTTTGACGTTGACCAGATTTGTTGCAACCCACTGAAGCAATCACGGCTGCCTTGAGCTTCCGAGTCAAGCTTCTGTTCAACATGATGGAAGTTGCTGTGCCCTTTCCCCGCGGTGGTCCCAACTCGTCGGGATCGTCGGGGCCTGGACAATATGGAATGTACCTTCCCTATAATATCGACTATCTCACTCTATCTCACTCATGATACTACCACGGCATATGGGGTAAGTCGTCCCTTCCTTGTCTACGCAATAATACCTTGGCCTCGAGGTCGGACTGCAGCCAGTGAAACAGCTGTAATTTGGCAAATCATAGCAGGACCACGTTATAGCCCAGTCACCCTTCCCAGTCGAATGGTACCCTGAGGACTCGAGTCGCTCTGGCAGACTGGCACCTGACGGTGATGGACACAGGGCACACTGAGGATACCTTACCTAGGGCAGGGCAGGGCACAGGACCACCTCAGGCACAACACAGTCTGACACTCCAAGCTGTCGATATCCATTCAACCAAAATGACTTGCAGCCGCATTGCAACAATGATTTGCGTCTCGTCGACTACCCCACTGCCAATCCAGACCATCATCCCGCCGTCCGTCAACTCCAACTCCGGTCGAGTCTCGCTCTCGCAGTACCTGGGAGCCTGGGAGAAGTGGTTGGACTTCAAGGACTTCCGTCTCCAGTTTCATCTGCCTCCGATCGCCTTGTCGTCACGGCCTGCAGTCTAGGTTTCCACCATGACCACGGTACGAATGCAACCTGCAAGTAACGACTGTAGAGAGAGCAAACGCACACATACTAATATCGATCCAAGGCTGCCAAGATGGCGGAACAGCGAGGGAAAGATTCCGTGTCGAGGAAATGGCTGCAACTTGCACCGAATACCGGATGGTCGCGATCCTGCTGAGCTTGCGTACAACTACCACATCTGGGCATGCTGGACTGAATCGGCCAGGCCAGCGAATAATCGCTCCACACGTCTCCATCCAAGCCATGAGATGCCGAGGAGCGAGCGGGTGCTAGACGTGCTTAGGTGCGCCCCCAACATGTCGCTAACGGAGGCGTTGGAGTGTTGATGTCAGTCGCAGCTCCAGCACACATGGAACATCGGCATGCTTGAAACTGGGGACTGGGCGAGACGGAAACCGGGCAAAGAGGTCACCTCCACTACCACGGGACGATCCCCGGACGGACTTGGGCACCAGTCCGTCTTTCGAAGGAGTCCATTGTCTTCCCAGTCGAAGCTCGCAACAGTCGCCGACTCGCCGGTGCCATTACACTGCTCCACAGCCACGGGCTTCCCCATCCACGGAACCTGAACGGACCAGAAGTCCGGGGAAACGGTCCAAACGGAATCAAGTCAGCCACACTGGCAGGACTGGCGCACTGGGTACGAATACGATACGGCTGCGTGCCAGCGGCTCGGGCACCACCCTCCCTCAAACCATGTGGCTAAAGCCCGACTCGGCGACCTGGGACCCAAGAAGGGGAGCGATCCGTCCGCCAAGCTCTTTAGCGTTGACGCAAAAAACCGTTGTCACACAGCTTCGGGTCAAGAGGCGTCCAATTATGGCAGGAAGATCTTCCAGGTGGCGTTCCTTGACTGTTGCCCGTAATTCCCTTGTCGACCCCCTTGCCCGCTATCGATCCCTACCGTCGCATACGGTCCACTCACCCACCCTGCCCCCTAAACCTTTCCTGGCGATTTCTAGCGAGCGTTCAGCTGAGGCTTTAACGCCCTAACGCCCAAATGGGGAAATCTTCAACGCCCTTGTCGCTGGTCATCTCACTCCAACCATTATCATCCAAATACGCTGCCAAAACGGCCATTACATTGCGCTCTGCGGGAAGAAGAGAGCAGCAAGTCTAAGGCAACCCAACCTCAACAAGTCAACAAGATGATGGGATAAACAAGTTACACTTCCCGCATCAGAGACAATAAGCTACCGAGACACACCGGAAACCGATAAGAGATGAGGTGTCGCTATGTATGCATAGTAGTACCGGTGGAGGAAGTGCCCTGAAACCTCCACAATAGCGGCCTGGGGGCATGCCTGCTAGCACTTCACGGGGCTTCCCCGTCACTCACTGTAACGGTCCCCCCCCGTCGTTTTGACGGTCACCCTGGCCTTCCACTAAACCTTCTTGACGATGAACTTGCGAGTGCTGGAACCGGAGCGAAATGCAAATGTAACCTTGGATACGGCAGCACCACGGTAGAAGTAACCATAGGTGAGTATAACTCCCTACTCTAGTTCTCGAAACTGACAGTGGTAACAAGATTGACTAACATGGAATAGTGGCTCATTATATTTCACCACCGTACCCGAAAGCCTTAATCGAATGAACGAGTCGACGATGAGATCGAACTCCAGTTAGCCGGTGGATGCTCAATTCCACACGGAATACAAGATTTATCTCCATGCGATTGCCCCTACCCCATCAGCAAGATATTCTCATGAGGGACCGACCACCCTATCATTCTGGTGGCAGGAGCGGTCGCGAGATTGAATGATACGCTTGGTTGTGCCGCTAGCGGTATGACCTTCACCAACAAAAGTCTCCGTGGGCCGTTTCTGTCAGCGATTGGATGCCTGTAACGCCCAAACCCCTGTCCAGCTCAAACCCAGAGCCGCCTCGACGTACTCCATGCAAGATGGCATGAAGGCGTTCACATTCATTGTGGTTGGGACTGGAGTCCCCGTTTTGAACTTCGACGGACACACTGTCGTTCTCCATAAGCGTCATATCGCCAATCTTACGCAAATCGTTGGCAAGATCCGCCTCATTGCCATGCTCTTGATGGTAAAACATGGATCCACTCGACTAAGAGAGCATCAATAACCAACGCTACCTAGCTCGCTCCCTTCGAATCTGCTTACCCTTCCTACTTCAGAATGGTGGCCGTTAGACATTCAAGACAATACCATCACGGCAGCTTCCATTGGCCTAGTTTTTCGTCCCGCCTGTTGGTTAACGGTTTCTCCATCCTATGCGCCGCATCCGCATCTCCGAGACACCCAATGGAATCGGCGCTTGCTTAAACGGCTGAGAAGTTGGTCAGCTGGGCTAGCAGCGTTTTTGGATGGCTGGATATTGCCCGGTCCATCCGGAAGGGCCTTCTGCACGGCGAAGGAAGTCCTGCCATCAGTCCGACCTAACATCAGGGAAGGAGATGCAATGCCACTGTCTTCTTAACGTGTTGGCTGGCCCACCTGAAGCCTGAGTGTTGGGCTTGGTGGAAGCCTTTGGCAGCTGGCGCCATCGAGATCACAACCGATGAGGGAGTCGGTGCCGGAATACGGGAACACCAGGCGCTTCTGTGGCTTACGTTGTACGTCCTGCAGACCCACAATCCAGTTGCAGTTCCAGGGCTGATACTGAACCAGAGGGATATAGGTCGGCGACCTGATCAAAAGTCTTGCTGCAACATGCTCAGAAAGGCATCAAGTCAGCCCGTGGCCTGCATCAAGGTCATCTCGAATTCCTTGTGCGGCCCCCGACCCCCGCCCGGCCAAGCACATCTCATGCCGTAACCTTTCTTGTTCGTTCCCTGGTCCCCGGCCGGAGTCCAGATCTTCGACACTTTTTGTCCTGAGAGCCCACTGGACATCAAGCTTTCTTCTGTTGCCACTATCGCTGGGAGAGGCCTCGAAGTGAGACATGAACAGGGTATGAATGCAAGAGATGTGTAAAGGAGGGGGAGGATATGGATGCCAACGCACTTGTTCGTCGGTCCCATCCCCCGTCCTACTCACTTCTTCCTCATATGCGGTCTATCAAACTTTCCAGGATAAAGCAAGAATCCAGATGAGTGGAGGGCGGGGGCACCGCAAAAGTGCCGAAGCGATGTGTGACTTTTTGAAAGGCCGTTTAATTAGGCCGAGTTCCTTGAGAGAAGGCGGTTAACCCACCGTATACTTTAGTCGCGCTCGGTTCTCTTTTCTCCTGACTAGCTGCGGCAAGCTGAGCATAATTCTGCCAGTCGCAGCGATATCCGATTAGGAGATGTTGGCAAAACAGGGAGCCTGGTCAATGACCTTGTTGTTGCTGGGCTCGGTTGGTTTCCGACTGCCGTGGCCCACTTGGGCTGTGCCTTCCCGTTCAGCTAACTATTTGCATGAAAGGTGACGACGACCGGTAGTGAATGCTTGAGACACATCGACGGAACTGACTCCGCTCAGACGAGACGTATCAAAGCCGGAGCAATGGGCCATCCGGAAGGGCGATGGCGCACAGCACTATGCTTGAACAATGTGTATTAAGACGATCTTGCTTTGAGAGACGGTTACAAACAGGAGTTCCGATATGTTATTTTGATTTCAAAGCGGGGGACGTGACAAGGAGCTCAACGAGTCTTGCCCAATGGATGCTTTATGGCTGAAACTCTGTAAGTCCTTCACTTGACGCCATCTCAGCCATCTCTCAGTTTCTGGGTCTGATCAAATTCTCAAGATCTGGTTGGTTAGTTCCAAAAGAAGGCAATCAAGTCCCGGAAATGTGTATGAGCATTTGGATTGGTCAGGCCAGATCCAGAGGGAAATTACACTTTTTGGAAAGAGGATGCCATTTGTGAGCAACGACAAGCAAGGCACAACTTCAGTATCATGAAGTAAGCCCAACCCAGACGTGCAGGACTGGGCTAAAAGGCTAATAAAAGGCCATTAAAATTGCGGGTACCTTTGAGGCAGGCCGTAGGACCCACAAGAAAGGAGGGCGGCTGAGAAAATACATGGTGGAAAAGGGAGAACGGATGAAGTGCGGGCGCGGCGGTTGTGAAAAAGAGGTGAACCACGGGGTTTCGTTCTACATCAAGGCCTGCAGTGAGGCATAGGGAAGCGCATCCGGAACGACTGGGATGTGATACCCAGGATTGAAGGGAGCGTAGGCGGAAGCGGGGAGGGTGAAGGTGAGGGTCAGGGAACATTGCTGTTGGTTCTCCTCCCCCTTTTCCGTTCATGTCAGCCCCAACCCAACCGTTCTTATCAAGCGGTCAGCCTTTTTGTGATGGATGTCAACACGGTTGCATACCAACCTTGCCTCTTTGTTAAGACATGTTGGAGCATCATTGGCTTGATACTTCCATCCATCATCGGCGGAAGGCGTCACAACTCCCCCGGATCACCAGAGACGGCTGGGCCAGTTGAGCCTGGGGGTACTATTTGCCTCCTTGCCCCTCCCAAGGTAGTCTTTGCACAGAGTGCACTTGTGTGGTAATACTGTTTCTGCCCTGACCACTCTGAGCTGCTTGTCTCGGAATGAGGAGGCCAGTGGATCGGAGGGAGGGAGGACACTCCGACAACATAACGGGAGGGTTGGCCTCTCTGGGAACTTTGAGTACTGACTGCAGTCAATGTACCAGTAACAAGTGGAAACTGGACCGAAGGTTTAACGTGAGTGCAGAAAAGCGACATACTTGATCACTCGTCGGCTTCAATCCATAGGCGGGCAGGAAAATGCTGACTGGATCAGTTGCTGATGCTTCTCGACTAACTGCAGCGGTTACAAAACCATCTGGTTTGCGCGAGTTGAGTACGGTAAGTATCACAGCTCATGATTTCAGCTGTTAGAAGGGGTAGTAGAGCGATTGATTTTTACATAATTAAGAAAGGCCGTCACTAACAGAAGGTCCATGGAGGTATTACGCCAGCAGTTTGATCTCGTAAATTACGGGTTCGGTCGGTTTCTGGCCCTCGTATCAACCCAGCGGAGGGAGGAGCGATGTCCATTGCCGTTGCAGTGCCGTGGCGGCTGTTGGATCTGAGTGAGAGTCAAGACGGAAAGGGCGAGCTGACGATGCCGACTCGGAAAGCGCAACTCAAAGGACTCATTGCATAACTTGGAGCAACGAACGGTAAGTAGAGGTACCTATCCACACCGACTCGTCCGGATGGGGTGAGTGTTACACTTCAGTTGACGGAGTGCAGGCACTCTGTGCATGCCGTTCGTTGTTCAGTTCGTCATGACTGACCACCATGACCACTGCATTCCGAGTCAACTTAGCTGGGGTAAAGTACCCTATGAGAAACTTGGTACGGTTGTAGAGTGGTTCCGTTGTTGAGCGGTTAAGAAGACACAACCGTTGCAGGGGAAGAACGGTTGCTCCACCGTTGATATCTCACAACGGTTTCTGAAAAACCATAAGGTCTCCTCCCATACAAAGGCTAGCGGAATTGGCGTGCAGTAGTCTGGGTGGTGGGAGAGAAAGAGGAAGTCGCGATGCACTCATGGCAGGAGCTTGGCCGGAGCTGGGGGATCAGTCAGATTCACCGGCCGCCGGGTGACAGTTGCAAGTGCGTGCCACTCGGCAACTACAAGACGACAATGAACATGCCACTGCGGAATGAAGAGTGCCTGTGTGCAAGGAACTATACTTGAAGTGACCAAACGGAGTTGCCGACCGGTTGGTGCGTGAGGTCAACTCTCCGGCTGCGTTCATGTTGCTGCCGCCGGCCATGAAAAAAACTCGAAACCGTAACCTGCAGTGTGGTTAAGTAACTTGAACAGCTAAGTTCCTCGTCACCGTGGCCGCGATACACAAGGACGAGGCGGTAGTATGATTCTGAACTACCTACTTACTTCTTACCAACTCATTGAACTTGGAAGCATGAGTTCTCAAGTTCCGGTTCAGAAATTGTGTCATGTCCGTCTTCCCATGACGGATACCGAATCCGCTTCTCAGATTATTGAGCTTCTACTAAGTATTCAAGTGCTGAGCGAGTGAGGACAATACTGCCACCGTCGTGGCCGTACTAATTTTCCGTCGCGGTACCGACGGAATCGGGCTGAGACGGACCAACGAGGGAATGAACTGAACTGAACCTGGCTGGTCCCCAAGGTTCAGCTTAGTGTAAGATAAGTACTCAGCTTCGATTCCAACGTTCACTCACCTGACTTCGTTGTCATCATTTGGCATTTCATGCATAGCCTGGCCTCTTCTACGTGAGTCCATTTTGGCTGACTCGGATCACGAGAAAGTGATTACTTTAGACTTCAAGTTTCAAGTGTCTCTGTCGACTCATGGTGCAGTGGTGTGAAGCAAACTGAATCACCCTCACAACATAGAGGACTAGTCTAGATTGCCGAAACCTTTTGCTAGTTATGCCACATA